CCCCAAAACCCCAAAACCCCAAAACCCCAAACCCCAAAACCCCAAAACCCCAAAACCCCGGTCATTTTACGATTATTTGAATTTTTAAGGAATATTAATTAGATTAACGAATTACATCTCTGAAGAGAGAGTTTCCATTGTGATAGGCAGAGTATAGAGAACAATCTTCATCACTTTGGAACACTTTCCAAAATCTCAGAGTCTCATCAGGAGCAGTACTAGCAACTGTAGTTCCATTAGGACTGATAGCAAGGTGGAGAACCCTAGAGTCGTGTCCTGAGAGCTCTGCTGTTTTCACAACTGGCATTTCAGGTTTATGAGGAAGATATTTCCAAACGAAAAGCTCGTTTTTCTCATATCCATGAGAACTTATGATCTCTTTTGAGTTTTTAGACCAGATTAAAGAGCAAATTTGTGCGCTTGTTTTAAGACTACATATCTCAGTGCCTTCTTCTGTATCCCAGAATTTGATAGACTTGTCTTTTGTACCTCCTCCAGAAGCCAGTAAATTCTTATCAAGAGGAGACCAAGCAAGTGCTTTCACAGCTGCTCTATGACTGGTGAAAGTATGTTTAGGTTCTCTATGAGAATTGATATCCCAAATGCAAAGGGTGTTGTCATTAGACCCACTAGCTAGCTGAGTACCATCAAATGACCACTTGAGGCCTCATACTTCCTTAGTATGGTACTGGAACCTTTCGATAATGTGATTTTTATCTCTAATATCATGATTGAGAATGGAACTATCTAGACTTCCTGTGCTAAGAATGTTATTATTCCAAGAAAGAGAGGACACTCTTTGAACATGCCCCTGAAGAGTTCTTATTCTCTTCACCAGGTTAGTGTCCCAGATTTCAATATCACCGTTCTCAAGACCAATGGCGAGAGTGTCTTTCCTCATATTCATCCAAGAGAGAGAAGTTATTAGGTTATTCCTACTATTTGGCTTAATTCCTGTAATGCTGTTGCTAGTGACATCCATTAGGTATGCTCAATTTTCAAGTCCTATGGCAATCACATTCTCATCGCTCCAGTCGAGGAGGTTCAAATAGAAATCATCGACCATATTAGGTGCGTCTAGTACTCTTTCAGGGTAGATTTTAGTAATCTTCTCAATGGGTTTGGCTGTCATGTTGTGACCTCTAAAGTCGTTGAGTCTTAAAGTCTTGTTTCTTACACCTCTTTGGAGATTCTCCTTATTGTTCTTTGATGTTTTAAAATTTAAAAGCTTTTTCTTATATGGATGATTGCTTTTTGTCTCTGCTTTCTGAGGAGAGGACAAAATATTGGCATCTACATAGTCCTCACCATTCTCTTTCTCAGGAGAGTTTGTTCCAAAGAATGCCTCTTTCAGAACACCTTCATACTCTAATTTTTGCGTATATTCAGCCTTGCATTCTTCGTATTCCCAACTATTATCGAAGTTATCTCTGTCAATATTGAGAGGAGGGGAGTCCTCATGGTTTATCTCATACATAGCGATGTTAGAATCTTGTCCTCTTCTTCTAGGGATGTACCTATCTCCTCCTGGCGAAGTCTCAGCATTGGGGTTGAAGTTGGGAATTCCCAAAGTAGACCTCCTAGGAAGCTTTTTTCCATTAGTAGACTCATATCTGTTTTTCGGAAGAGGTGACAGAAACTTCTGATACTTTGCTTCTTCATTCTCATCAAACTGTAGGTAGGAATCCTCCTGAACGGGCGGCAACTTTCCTTTAATCATTTTTATTTCTTCTTAATATTTAATCGTTAAAAATTAGAAAGTAAGGTTATGGGGTTTTGGGGTTTTGGGGTTTTGGGGTTTTGGGGTTTTGGGG